ATAGGTTATTCATAATGAAATGTAAGAGAGAACTATCAACGAATTGTGAAAGAGAGGATGTGGCAGGAGGGGTCTGATTTTCTATTTGATAGCTCTGTAACCAAACAAAATTGAAGGCAATAAAAATTATGGTCTGTTTGAGCAATAATGATTTTATAGAGAGTATTTTATGTTTAATTTCATACATTTTCGAGGGGTGATGGATAAAATAGGAATGATGACATGCTAAGACAAAATGTGTCAAGTGTGTCACATCAGTGGAAATTCAGGATTTTTTTATATATTTTCTTGTATAATTACGAACGTAAAACTTGTATGCTATTAAAATATGGATTATTAGCTAAGACTTTATGCTATTCTAAGTGGTATAACATAAATAAAAAGTAGTATAATAAAGTTTTGAATGTAAGACACTAAAACCTTGTGTCTTGCGCAGTAAAGGGTACCTGTGAAGATAGGGTTAAAACACATCAAGAACCAGACATGAATAACTATTTCCACAATAAGGTAAATAAATATATACACAAAAATCAAGACTTATAAACACTGAAATTTCCATTCACTACGGCAATTCTCCAAAATAATAATCATGATCTAGCACAAAAAATCATAAATACAATACCTAAACCTGAGGTTATACTATCCATAAAACAAACAAAAACAAAGCACTAGGAGAAGATCAGATACAAACAATACTGTTAAAGTAAGGTACTCAGAGATTGTTTGACCACTTAACAGCTTTGTTTAATCTATCCGTAATTAAAATTCGGTGACGAGGAACCCACTTTGAAACTAATAATGGCTGGAGACTGCTTGAATGGGTAATGAAGAAAAACTTTAATATAAGTTTAACATAACAGCTAATGTACAACGTTTTCTAGAGATCATTTCAAAATTACCTGAAGTTCAAATGGCTTTAGAAAATTTCAGTAAACAACTGATCATTTAGTTAGGCTTAATGAAACCATAATAGATAGCTTTAATCAAAAGAAATGCACTGTTGCTTGCTTTCTTAATATCGAGAAAGCTTTTGACACAATATGGCATAATGGTTTAAGATTCAAAGAAATAGAATTACCAACAGGAGTTATTCGCTGGTTATCCAATTTTCTTGACCATAGAAAATGTTGAGGGCACCTTCTCAGAGTATTTTACTCCAGAGGTGGGTGTTCCTCAGGGAGGGGTATTTAGTCCTATCCTGTACATCATGTATGTAAGCGACATACCATTAAATTATATTAATTGTAATTCAACTTCACAGTTTGCTGACAATGTGGCTATCTGGAAGAGTTCTAACACACCCTCAATAGCATCAAACAATTTACAACCAGTTTTATATCAAATAGTTGAGTACTGTCAGAAATATAGAATCAAAATTTATATACCAAAAATGAAATTAATGTTATTCTCAAAATCACTTAAATTACATAGAAACCCTCCAAAATTATACCTGAATGGAGCTCTTCTTGATACCAGTTCTTCAGCGAAATTTTTAGGCCTAATATATGATTCAAAATTAAATTGGAGAAACTATGTATCCGAAATTACTTAAAAAGTGTTGCAACAAGCAATCTATCTCAAAAGACTAACAGGCAAAAACACAGGTGTATCCACAGAAAACATTATTAAAATTTATAAACAATATATCAGACCACTAATGGAATATGCATGGCCAGCATGGTTAAACGTAGCAAAAACAAATCTTAAGAAATTGCAAATAATACAAAATTCAATACTTACCACAGCTTTCAGAGTACCAAGAACCACAAAGTCAACATTTCTACATAATTGTGCAAATCTATCCCCACTGAAAAACAGATTGATATATTGCTTGTTCCACTACTTTAATAAAAATGATCTGTTAACAGAAATAGATCGCTATATCATAAATGATGTTGATAGGCCTAAGTGCCTTTCACCATTAAATTTCTGTTAGAAATTAGACCACCCACACTAGACATTAAAATTATTTTTACCAAGAGTTAGATATTACCGTGGTATTTAAAAAGTGTATTTTATGTATAAATACGTGTTAGTAAATATCTCTTGTGAAGAAGTGTTTTTTAATTTTGGAACTGTTTGTGATCTTACACAACCAAATGAAGTGAACTACTATGTTTGTGAGTGTTGGTGATCAAATAAAGAGAAGAATTTTTAAACTACACTAAATGCTACTAGCATTATATTCAAGGACATGACCCTGAAAAAAGGTGTAGAAGTTAAACAGTGTTTTGTGTTTGAATACCTCCAAGTAGAATTTGTCAGTCTTTAATATCATTAATTCAGGAGGGAGGGAGGAAGAGGTG